TTAAAGGGGAAACAGAATGCCTTCAGTATGTCTATTTTTGGCAACTTGCAGCATGTCTAATTCAAGTGTTTTTCAGAGCATCCATTCTTGTGCATCAATCAGGCTCCCTTTAACTGTCACAGCTCATGCTCCTTGCTGAATTCCACCTCAGGTCAAACCAATCAGCTCGTAGGATCTAGCACTGTATCACAGCCAAGCAAACTGAGGTGGGTCACTGGCAGTCACAATTCCAGTGGAGGGAAGCATGAGCGTGCTTGTCACCTGTCAAGTAGATTGACTTGCACTGAAGACTGCAAACAACAGCCATTCAGTTGTATGACTGACATTTGGTGTTAAAGAGCAGAGAAATTGTCACAGTTTTGGCATATGGGATACAAGCAAGTGGTGGGGGGAAAAAATAAAAGAAAAAAAGTCTGTTTCCTGTAGCTCAATTCTTTTGCAGTTCCTTATTCACATGGTGTTGGAGGCTAGATGGTTTAATTTTCAATGAATGAAAGCACAGATGAAAAGTTGAATGTCTGCATAGGACACTGGTGTTGCCATCTTCTCCTACAACTGCCATTTATTCCAGGGTAAGCTGCATAGAAGTATATAGCTTAACAGACCATACCTATTGCTAAGTGGCACTGGCATCTACCCCCAGTAAAACACATTCATAACTACAAACTAGAAAATTCATCCCCATACTATGTCAGTCCCTGATGCCTTTTAGTAATACACAAAGGTGCTTCTTCCATATGAGAAACCTACTCATTTGCTAAACACACACTTGAAGACAGTGAACTCTAGCCACTGAACTGTCTGAAAATTCAGTTAGTCACACCAGAAAAAAACCTGTCCAGTTTCAGAAGACTCCTGAAAAGAAAAGCCAGGTACAGGGCTTTGCTTCTTTTCAATAAATACTAGAAAATTGTTATAGAGGATTTGATGTCAAGAAACCTTGTCACAAGGCACCATGATTAAGCAAAATCACCTATTCCTTCCCAGCACTCAAGCCTTTGGCAAGTTGTTTTGCACATTTTTGGATTTTTTGTTGTTGTTTTTAACTATTTGGATAATGTATCTTCATGGTTAGTAACTTTGTATGCTGAGACTTCCTTACAAGAAGTCTCCTAAGATAGCTAGGAATAGCAGGCAAAAAGCCAGCAGCAGGTAAATATTTCTATATATTCAGTTCTGAACATCCAGTCCATGGGGATGAACAGACTCTCCTCCTCTCCAGCTGGAAAAATCTTCATTCTTGTCACTTATGCAGATTCATGAGCAGAATTTTCTTTAGAGGCTTTCTTGGCACTGGGGGGGGGGAAGACAGATAAGGTGAAGAGGAAATGTAAGATACTTGTTCCTTTTTGTGTTATTCGAAATTTAAGAACAAAAAGCCCACTAAACAAAAAAACAATTATGTGCTTGGGCTCTTTCCTGGCTGCTGCTTGATTTCACATGTCAGATAAACACACACAAACCCCTCAAGGCCTCCCCAGGTCATTGCCCTGGAGTGAAAGTCAGCACACATGCCTTTCTATGCAGAACTAGAGCTCGGTCTAGTAGTGTCCCCATGAGACCTTTCACACACAGCAATTGTACTAAAATAAATACTTTAGTGGATAAAGTCCAAATAAAGGTGGCCTCACATTTGAAAGTTTACTCTGGGTCAGAAAAATTATTGATCAAAAAATTACAAGTGCACCAAGGGCTATTAAACACAGAGATTCAGTCTATGATCCAAATCAGAGATGAAGTCTCAGGAAGTCACTCATCTGAGAGTTGCCAACAAAAAGCATTGTGCCAGGGAGAGCACCTGCATATGCCTGCTCAGTTTTTGTACCAGCCTCCAAATCTGCCACTGGCCAGTGAGGAGGGCAGGCTCTGGCCTGACTCAGTATGGATGTTCTCAAATTAAGGGTAAAGTTAGTCAATCCTTAGATAAGGCTCAGTTTCCTCTGTGTTACACAGGGTTTACAGACAAGGCACTAACAGTCATTTACACCTGGCCACCTTGTGAATGTGAGAGGCAGTGACTTGTACTTGCTTTTCAGACATGCCAATAACCACACAAGGAGACGGTTGGCAGAGAAGCAAGTTAGGGGTTTTTAAGTTGCCAAAGCTGCCATAAGCAAACCTCAGGTTAGTCTGAGTTGTGATGCTTCCGAAGCCTTAAGAAGATTAGTGCACACAAGTCAACCAAATTGGGAAGCTTTATTAGATCCTGCTGCTACTGCTCAAGTTTCCCCCAAACCAAAGTCAACAGCGATCACTCATACCCTCCTCTCTTCCTGTTGACAGGCTGCTCCAAGCATTTCACGAATATCGCCGCCTCTTCTCCCTTACTGAGACGTGAGGTGCCATCTTTAGAACAGAACACCACCCTGTGGAATAAATATTGGACAATCACATGACTGAGCCAGACATCTCTTTTTAACTGTAGGAACACAACTGATGCTTGGAAGCAGTTTTTATCCTTTGTCATGTGGGACACTACTACTTTATAAGCATGTGAGAAAATTATTTTTAAAAGATAATTCTGTGATGAAGAAACACTGTGCAAGAAAAACTGCTAAATGTATTATGCATGGACCTCAAACTGTAGCTATAACTTTTGCTGGTCCTTTGCATAAAATCTTCTCATAGCTAAGAGAGCTCAAAGTCTCTTGGATCTTTATTTACACCAGTCCTTGTGTGACTTTGAATGATCTTGGAAGAAAGCCTTACTCCCTCAAATGTTTGCAAAGTAGGTTGCCAATTCCAGAAAACCTGAGCAGTTGCTTTTCTATTTATCAGTACTTTCCCCACCCCTATATTTGTTCAGCACTGATAACTGTTCTTAGATCAAGTGACTGCCTTGTTTATTCAAAGGAGGAACATATTATTCACAGCAGTGTTCACAGGACATGCATACTAAGTTCTGGGTCCATTTTCTGCTAAGAGATCTCATGTCCAGTGAATATGAGTATTTCCAAAGATTCAGGTCAAAGCAGTTCTGTTTAGACTTTGCTGTTTTAACATTCATGCATCACCATCCTACAACAGTCACATTTCAGTTTTCACCTGCCATTCAGGTATTCAACTCTTAAGAAAATCCAGCTTAAAGCAATGACTTCTTGTGCAAATGCACTTTTAGAAGGAGATTTTTAGAAACCCTTCTAAGTATGCTATTTTCAAGAAAGTCTATGCAAATGTCCAGCAAGAGAAATAAGGAGAGGAACTGCAAACACCAGAGATACTGGTTCATGGAGAACCTCTCCTGCATACTATAACTGAGGCACATGAGTCAGCGGTATTCAAGTGAATTACATGGAAGTAAAGCTACAGATTGCAGATCCCAGTGGAAGCAACCAACTGAACCTGGTTGACATAAATGCTGGTTTGGTGCCACTGGAGCCCTGATTATCGGTGCTGCACCCATTTGTAACTGCTTTTCATGTTTTGTCTCACTCCATGAGATACCAGGAATCAGGAAACACTGTCAATTAAAACTAAATATAGCTTATAACAATCAAAACAAGTTACTTCTTCTGAGTTTCTCCTGACTTCACTCTGACTCTCTGGATGTCAAATGTAAAAGGAGTCCACCAGTCTGACCAGCTGAAGAAGGTGTCTTTCTCCCACTGCAGCTTCAACATAAGGAGGTCACCAATCTCCACTTCTGTGTAAATCAAGAAGGAGAAGGTCTTGTTTGAGGAGACTTCAGGCCTGTGGGGAGGGGAATAAAGAAAAAAGAAAAAAGGGAACTGTTGGACAAAAAGAAGAGTGTCCTGGTTCTGTTTCTCCTTAATGTACTTCAAAGAAGAAGGAAGGAACCTTCTCCATAGCTCTGATAGATAAACCACAAGCTTTCATAGACGCACAAGAAAAAGCTTCCTGCTCCAAGGTTGGTAAAATCCTGGGACAGACTGCCAGGCAAGGCATGTCTTCTCCAGTGCTGGTGGTTCTCAAAGTAGTCAGACAAGCACCAGCCAGGAACAATCCAGGTTCTTCAAGAGCAGAAAATAGACTTTGGTGCTTTCCAGCCACGACCCCTGCCAGCCCATATGCAGGGATGTAAGCACAGACATCTGCTTATTTGCAGAGCTATGGAAGCAAATCCCATCTGTCCCTCAGCTTCTGCACTGAGACCTTCAGACCCACCAGACAATTAACTCCAGGTTGCAGTCTGCTTTTAAAGAGCTTTAACATTGCATAAAGATACTGAAAAGAGAAGAAAACAAGAAACTTAATTCTGATTAGGCTGAGCCACATTTCCATATTTCAGATCCCTTACCAAGAACAGCTCCTATAGAGCTTAGATCATTAGCTTCAGCAGTGGATGCACCCCTTGATCAAGGACAAGAGCAGATTCTGGGACTCTAAGATTTCTGTAGCTGGAGCTAAAACAATTTTTTCAGTTAGGGCTTTAACGGATTTAGGTAGACTCAACAGTACATTGCAACTGTTTCTGCAGCTACTCACAGTGTGAAAGCAATGTTCTTACTCTCATCTAGAGTGCCATAGAGAGATATCAGGAATGGCTGGTTTGTCTTGGTTGTATTAGTCTTTCCAAAGAAATGGATCTTGACCTGGTAATGAAAGACTGGAAGAACACAAAAGAAAAGGCCTTTAGGAAAAAACTCAACCTCCAAAGAGGATGACAGTGACAAAACACCCCCAACCCCCCCTGTGCAAATCCCAGGTTGCAATACACCAACACCACTAAACTGAGGAGTTTGTTCTCTGCAGGTATCCAGGGAACTATCTTTGTGAGGAGGTAAAGCTTAGGATGCAAGAGAATCACAATTAAAAGTCCTTGCAACTAAACTCTGCATTTAAGTTGACTGCCAATATAACAATCCCAGAGTCTGCAGTATTGCCTTCAGACCCATTACAGACGTGTAAGACTTGCTGTCCTTGACTTGAAACAAGTGAGCTGTGCCCTCCTCATTCAGCAGCCTTGGTGAAAGAAATTTCAACTCACTGACACTGCAGATTAAGCATCAAATGCCAACACCATTCTTGCAGCTATTCTTACACTGCAGGAATGTGTTCTCTGATTGCTAGTCCACCACACAATGCGCACAATGAGCATACCATGTGGTACAGTCAAAGCTAGGGAGGAAAAAAAATACTAAAACCCAACTCAGAAGCTATTTCCATAGATGAAAGCCTTCCAGTTCCTTCTGGCAGTGTCCTTCTCAGACCTACCACTGCAGCAATGGGAATCAAGAAGTGCTGCGATGTTTTAATGAGGGCTGGTGCTCTTCTGGCAAAGGCACTACAAGTCTGACGGTTGCACATCTTTAAAGAAGTTGCTCATCAGGCTCAGTTCTACTGATCATCTTCCCAGTAGTAGGAAAAATTCATTTGGATGAAAAACTGAAAAAATTGGAAGGCTCTGTTGTTCTAAGTGATGGGGCCACAGAGCAAATCTTCTTACCTTTGCTACAAAATACCTTCCTTTCTGTATTCTACACCCCCACCTCCACACCTTGAGTAAGATGACATTGTTTTTCTGAGACCGTACTTTAGCTTGCGCTTAATGGCAAACTGCAGGCAAGCTTCAGTCCTGCTCACCACAGGCACCAAAGCAGCAATATTGCCATCTGCAGCATGTACCCATCCTGACACACAGCTGAGCAAATGTACCAGTCTTGCTCACCAGAAAGCAAGGAGGACCTACCTTTATAGGGCATCTGAGCACGGGTTTTCAAGTACATTTTAGTGTTTCTCTTCGTTCTCACTCTATTGACTTTATAACCCAAATTGTTGCAGCGGTTCTTCCTGCAGCTCAGACAGAGACCCTTCTCAAAAGCCTCCTTTGTGTTGCAGCGGTAGGCCATGCTGGGCTTTTCTTCATAGAGCAGGGAGTCAATGAAGAGGTGGATGGATCGTTCATGGGAGCATTTCACCAGCTGATCCACATCTTGGAAGAACAAAGATGTGTCATATATATACACACATGCACACGACATAAACCCCTTAAGCAATGCTATCAACAGGCACAATCTGCTATGCCAGCACTGGGCTTTATAAGATGACTTTTAAGAGCACTTAAAGGAACACATTCCTGTTCCTTTCAAAGATATTTGCTTGCAGAAAACCTGATGGCTATTGAAGATATCCCTTTGGATGTTATACTGTTTGTTTCAGAGCAGCCTCACCTGTAAAGCCTTTTTCAGCAATCAGACGGAGTGCTTCTCCCAAGTTGCAACCTGGCTGGAAGCCTCCACCATTAGGATAAATATCAATGTGTCCAACAGGCTTCTGGATGCCAATACTGCGGTCTGGAGAGCCTCGAGTGTAGGTGTGTAGGACATCCACAAAGTCAGCATCATCAGGGGAGAGGCGGGTGAGGGCATCGGCATACTCAAAGGTAGGACCAGCTGGATCCAGCCCTTTACGGGGCAAACCACAACGAAAAACTGAGATTACTGTCTGCCAAAGACATCGACAGTGATAAACGCCAAACTCAGCTACCACATTGGGCTGGAGTATTCCACATTGTGTTGGTGTCACTGCAGACATTACAGTGGGACCATTTAAGTAGCATTCATGTATAAAGGACAATCAAATGCGCTACCTTGAAATGCTGTCACTGTTTGAAAAATAAGGTGTATGTAAACATATGTAAAGCTGCCCAGATAACTTCCTCACAGCTGTAGCATTTCCAGCAGATAGAAGAAACAAGCTAGTAAATATTTTTTTCAATGTCTTCCTCTCTTGTCAAGAATTGTAAAATTTTTCTAAAGTGTGCAAAATGTCTTGCTGCTAACTTTCTGCAAGGGAAACAAGTGGGAAACAAACAAGAACTTCACTGTCTTCATGCCTAAGGGGAAGGGGATTATTGCAGTAAACTGTCAAGCTGCAGCAACACTGACATCAAAAACACACAAGAACTATTCTGTCAGTGAACAAGTACTATCTCTTGAATCCAGACAACTACTTGAGAGATGGCTGAAGGCAGAGCTGAAGGAACACATCTTTTCTGCAGCCCTCAGCTGGGGCCAGGCACCTGGGTGGCCGACCCCTAGTTAGCCTCATCCCATCTGAGCTGCCTGCCCCTCTGCTGGGGCGAGCACTTCGGGGACCACATCCCATCACTCCTTGTGCTCAAAGGTGACACCACTTTCCCAGGGAAAGGCTCATCCTGGGCACAGAGGGAAACCATGGGGTCATAACAGAGGGCTACTTGTACTTGAATGATTTGGCAGCCTCAGTGAAAGCAACAAAGCTGCAGCAGAGAAAAAAAGTGTAGAGGGACTAGTGCTTTCGCCTCCTGATTTTAAATCTGGCACCTCTCAGGAGTCAGCCTTTCCAGATGCAACTGCTGCCTAGCCCACCCCCTAGCACACCTGTAGATCTGGGATCACAGCCAGGCTCACGTGAAACAGCAAAGGATGCCAGGAGGAAGGGAGTTAGGCTCCCATTTGGATGCCACTCCAAGCTCTCTCAGCAGCTAAGACCCCTCAGATGAATGATTTTCTTAGCCTCATTTGCTGATGTTGGCATTTATTTTGTCACTGAGATCACAGCTAGGGGCTCAGCTCTCCAGGTGCTGGGCTGTAAACCGGCCCCAGAGTGACTGTGCACCCTGTCTTGTCTAGCACACTTCTCAGTCTCCAAAAGTCACCCTAAGCAGACATTGAAGCATGCATAAGAACAGGGCGAGTATACTTCCCTCCCCTTCCCAAAACTCTCCCAGTATTATTTTCAGCATAGAATATCACTTGAGCCTATTAGGATTAATTTTTTAGCAACCCACAATCTTTTCTGACTATCTGTCCAGTCTCCCTTTGAGTCCATATAAACTTCATGCATCTGCAGCATCCCATGGCAGAGAGCTCTGCAGGTACTACACCCACTGCAGGAGGATCTACCTCCTGTTCTTTTTGAATGGCTCCCACCAGATGCAAGGGATGATCGCCTGGGTGAAGACAACCAGCTGAAGTTCTCATGGTGCAAGAGATACTGTGACCTTCTCCAAGCCATGGACTTGGCCAGTCTCAATCACACCCCCGCCCACAACTAGTCTCTTCAAATGGCTGATGAATCCCTGCCCACTCACTCATTTCTTGTGCAGAAGCAGATCAAGGCTTCTCACCCACCATCTTTGTTGTGCTTTTCTGAACCTTTTCAGTTCTACTACAGAATATCAGCCCTGCTGATTCAGTAAAGCATGAACACATAACTTAAGTACTGCCAATAAGCAACAGTTATTCTGGTGAGTTTCCAGAGGAACACAATATTTCAGCATGAAAAAAACCAGGACTCTCCACTCTACAACCACAGGTTTTCTTACCAGTAATTCTGTTCACCTTCTTCTTAGTCAGGCTCCCAGCGATCCCAGCAGCATGAGCACCTAGACTGTACCCCAGCAAGTGGACATTGTTGAGAGGATAATTGAATTGCTCCTGCAAAAGAGCGATTTGTTTAAAGTTTGAAGTCAAATGAGAAAACATCAGAAGACCCAAGGGAAAATGTTTTGTAAACACTGGGATTTCTCTTTGACCCATAAATAATAAAAGAAACACTAAATACAATTAACATAGTTTTGTGCCATATTAGGTCACTTGTAATTAACGTAAGGCAAAAATCTAAGCAGAGAGGAATGTAGAATAAAAGATGGAACAGAGGGCTATGTATTATACCAAAGGTTCTCAGTGACCCCCTCCCCACCAGTTTCTGGATCTCCTAAGTATTTCCTAAAGGCAGGGCCAGCTTCTGTTTCCCAAGGGCTTGCTGCTGTATAACTTACAGGAACCTGTCTTTCATAGCTACCTCTCACAGAGCCTTCAGAAATACTGTGGACTCACAGGGCTCCACAGACCACAAGGTGAAGTTTCTGGAATGCACTATAAAAGGCCTCCTTGTGTGAGATAACCATTAAATTAAATCCGGGATTTTACCAGTCCAGCAAAAGTACTGTCTGCAATAGCTAAACTCCATCTACCCAAACAGAGATGAACCACACAGCTGCATCATTGCTGTTTTGTCTCCTAGGACATTATGTACAATATGAGACATGTGACTACATGTCTTACCTCCATCCAGTCAATGAACATAGCAACATCCTTTCCCACCAGCTTAGTGTATGCAGCAGACACTGGGTAGTGCTGCTGAGCTCGAGTTAGCCAGTCCACCACAATGACGTTAGAATCAGGTTCCCTCTTGTACAGAGCATCCACCAGCTTCGGGACCCAACTTTCATACATTCCTGTCACCTGTTATTTTTAAATTAAAAAATATTTTTAAATTAATATTATCTGTGGTGTATAGACATCTCAGCTGATATATCTAGTGCAGTTTATCAGAAGTGTGGTTAAAAAGGAAATTCCTCCCCTTTCTTCTTACCGTCCACCCATGGATCACCACAAAGGTTTTACTGGTATGGTTGAAATTGCACTGTGCCAGGCTGTCCACCTGCCCAGGAACCAGGTAGCAGACATCCTCATCGGGCTCTGCAGGTGTCCGTAAGGAAAACTTGCTCTCAATTCCCTCAAAATTGGTCTCAGCTTCTGCCATGCAAAAGCACAAGAAACATACAGCAGTGTTTTAGGAGTATGAGGACAAACAGTTCAGAACTCATCAGTTCACAGGTATGATGCTGAAGAGGTATCAAGAATAGTCAAGAAATGGGACTTGTACTTTTCATTTCCTACAGTGCTCCTTTCATGCCGCAAAAGCCACGTAAAGAAGAAATCAAAGGGTGAAAATCGCTCCCCCTCCAAGGTCCTGCTAAAACAGTGAGAATCTGGCCAGCTGTCAGAGAGGCATGAATTCCTTTTAGGAGTCAGTATTTTCCCCATTACACTATTAACAGGAAACCTGTGAATTACCACAGCAGTGCAGAAAACTGCACAGGACAGTCACAGGCAGTAGATGCAGGAAAGCAGCAAGTTCCTAACATACTATTACATATTTTAAGAACTGGCTGAATGGCAGAGCTCAGAGAGTTGTGATCAGCAGCACTGAGTCTAGATGGAAGTCTGTAACTAGCAGTGTTCCCCAGGGGTCAGTACTGGGTCCAGTTTTGTTCAATATATTCATCAATTACTTGGATGAAGGGACAGTATTCCCTCAGCAAGTTTGCTGATGATGCAAAACTGGGAGGAGTGGCTGACACACCAGAAGGCTGTGCTGCCATTCAGCAAGACCTGGACAGGCTGGAGAGTTGGGCAGAGAGGAACCTAATGAGGTTCAATAAGGGCAAGTGTAGGGTCCTGCACCTGGGGAGGAATAACCTCATACACCAGTAGAGGCTGGGGGTCAACCTGCTGGAGAGCAGCTCTGTGGAAAATGACCTGGGAGTTCTGGTGGACAGCAAGTTGACCATGAGCCAGCAATGTACCCTTGTTGCCAAGAAGGCAAATGGTGTCCTGGGCTGCACTAAGAAGAGTGTGGCCAGCAGGTCAACAGAGGTCATCCTCCCACTTTACTCTGCCCTGATGAGGCCACATCTGAAGTACTGTGTCCAGTTTTGGGCTCCCCAGTTCAAGAGGCACGGGGAACCACTGGGGTGAGTCCAGTGGAGGGGTAGAAAGATGATTAGGGGACAGGAACACCTCTCCTATGAGGAAAGGCTGAGAGACCTGGGACTGTTCACCCTGGAGGAGAGAAGACAGAGGGGATCTTATCAATGCTTATAAATATCTACAGGGCTGGTGTCAACATGGTGCAGCCAAGCTCTTTTCCATGGTGCCCAGTGACAGGACAAGGGGCAACAGGCACAAACTGGAGCACAGGAAGTTCTGCCTCAACATGAGGAAAAACTTTACATTAAGGGTGACAGAGCACTGAAACAGGCTGCCCAGGGAGGTTGTGGAGCCCCCTTCCCTAGAGATACTCAAATCCCACCTGGGAATGATCCTGTGCAACCTACTCTAGGTGAACCTGCTTTAGCAGGGGCATTGGACTAGATCATAGAAACATAGAATGGTTTGGGTTGGAAGGGAGCTTAAGTATCACCATGGCCAGGGACACCTTCCACTAGACCAGGTTGCTCCAAGCCCCATCCAACCTGGCCTTGAACACTGCCAGGGAGGGGGCAGCCACAGCTTCTCTGGGAAACCTCTTCCAGTGCCTCACCACCCTCATCATAAAAACATTCTTCCTAATACCTAATCTAAATCTACCTTCTTTTAGTTTAAAACCATTGCCCCTTTTTCTGTCACTGCAGGCCCTGCTAAGAAGTGTCTCCGTCTTTCCTATAAGCTCCGTTTAGGTACTGATAGGCTGCAATAAGGTCTCCCTGGAGCCTTCTCTTCTCCAGGCTGAACAACCCCAACTCTCTCAGCCTTTCAGCATAGGAGAGGTGCTCCAGCCCCCTGATCATTTTCGTGGCCCTCCTCTGGACCCACTCCAACAGGTCCATGTCTTTCCTGCAATGGAGGCCCCAGAACCGGATGCAGTACTCCAGGTGGGGTCTTAGCAGAGCAGAGGGGGAGAATTGCCTCCCTCGATCTGCCTGCCACACTTCTTTTGATGTGGCTGAGGATGCAGTTGGCTTTCTAGGCTGCAAGCATACATTGCTGGCTCATAGTCAGCTTTTCATCTAGCAGCACCCCCAAGTCCTCTTCTTCAGGGCTGCTCTCAATCCACTCATTGCCCAGCCTGTAGCTGTGCTCAGGATTGCCTTAACCCAGGTGCAGGGCCTTGCACTTGGCCTTGCTCAACTTCATGAGGTTTGCACAGGCCCACCTCTCCAGCCTGTCAAGGTCCCTCTGGATGGCAACCCTTCCCTCCAGTGTGTCCATCGCACCACACAGCTTGGTGTCGTCAGCAAACTTGCTGAGGGTGCCTTCAATCCCGCTGTCCATGTCACCAATGAAGATGTTAAACAGCACCAGTCCAAACACTGACCCCTGAGGAACACCACTTGTCACTGGTCTCCACTTGGACATTGAGCCATTGACGATGACTCTTTGGGTGTGACCATCTAGCCAATTCCTGATCCACCCCGTGGTTCATCCATCAAATCTATGTCTCTCCAGTTTAGAGACAAGGATGTCATGTAAGACAGTGTCAAAAGTCTTACATAAGTCCAGGTAGATGATGTCAGTTGCTTTTCCCTTATCCACCATTGCTGTAACCCCATTGTAGAAAGCCACCAAATTTGTCAGGCAGGATTCGCCCTTAGTGAAGCCATGTTGGCTGTCAATCACCTCATTTTCCATGCGCCCTTACATTTTCCAGGAGGATCCGCTCCATGATCTTGCCAGGCACAGAGGTGAGGCTGACTGGCCTGTAATTCCCAGGGTCTTCTCCACTTTTTAAATATGGGGGTTATGTTTCCCAGACTGCCACAATTTCTCAAATATGATGGATAGTGGCTTAGCAATTACATCCGCCAGCTCCCTCAGGACCCACGGATGCACCACATCAAGTCCCATGAATTGTGTGCATTCAGGTTCCCTAGATGGTCTCAAACCTGATCTTCTCCTATGGTGGGCAGTTCTTCATTCTGCCAGGCCCTGCCTGTTCCCTCTTCGACTTGGGCGGTGTGGCCAGAGCACTTTCCAGTAAAGACTAAAGTGAAAAAGTCATTGAGTACCTCAGCCTTCTCCGTATCCTGGGTAGCTAGGTCTCCCATTGCTGAGAGGGCCCAAATTATCCCTAGTCTTCCTTTTATCACCAACATACCTATAGAAGCTTTTCTTATTAATCTTGATGTTTCTGGCCAGGTTTAATTCTATCAGGGTCTTAGTCCTCCTGATCTATTCCCTGGCTGATGATCTCCAGAGGTCCCTTCCAACCCCTACCATTCTGTGATTCTGCAAAAAAACTAGCACGTGAGAAGAGTAGGAACCCATTAAAGTAAACTGAACTAGCAAAGCATAAGCTTGTATTTTGAAGGCAATATTTTTTCAGATCATCCAATAGGCAACACTGCAGGAAAAAAAAAAAATCTTCCTCTGCCTGCAGCTGTTTTGGATCCCCAGTGGGGGGGAGAGGTGAAGATCATGTACTAGTGGCAACACAGCATGCAATGGCCTGAAAAGATCACTTTAGAGAACTCCCTCCAGCTTCCAGCTTCCAAATAAGTTTTCCTTTTGTTCCTGCCAAGGCAGAGAAGTGACTTTAGGCTTTGTGCTCACTACTCTCTTTGTCTGGGAAGAAACTTAAATGCCTCCTCTTTTTACATCTGACTCAACACTTCAGTACTTCTATACCCAGCAGACCCTGTAATTAAATGTGGACTTGAACTCCAGCACTTTTTGAAAATCAGGCCCTACTTTGGCAACTTGCATTTGGCAAATATTGATTGCCTGCCTTCCAACTGTAGCTGAACTCAGGCCAACCCTGACCTGCTCAGTGCTGTTTCCTGGCATCATCACCACCAAGCTTTCACAAACTCCTACACACACATTAATGAATGGCTCCAAGCCACCATAAGAAATGCAAAGGGACATGGTGAGGACCTCATGCTGGACACAGACTTCCTCTCCCCTTCTTTTTCAACTGCAGAAGAGGTTTTCTATGATAACTGGTAGATTTGTCTTTCTCCATGAAGTTGTGCTGCATCACTCAGAGGCCACAAATAATGAACTATCTTTTCTTCCTAAAATTTAGTCTTCCTGGTCTTCTCATTCAAGCTACCGTATTCAGCAGGGCACTGACTTATGCCCAACCTCACTTAGCCATGAGGTAACTGCATAAATTCTCAGAGGTTCCTGCTGTGCTTGGAGGGCCACAGAAATCAGCATCTAACCTCTTGCATGAGGTGTAAAACCAGCACACAGGCTAGCAACAAATGCTCATGTACAAGCCTTAGAGAGACCGCTGTCATCTACAATCAACAGCTTAACATCACCCGAGTTCATCAGCACTTCTCACGTGCCAAAAGCAAAGCACATGCACGGAAGTAACAAGAACCATTCACTGAACAGAAGCAGTGCCCAACTTTGTTTTGACCTTGACTGCGCTAGGCTAGCTAATCCAGGATAATTGGACACTGAGGGCCCCCCTCCTGACTCCTTCTCCCTAAAGATGGGATAAAGTTTATGAAAAACACCTTTCTCCAAACCAGTAGAAGTATTCACATAATAGTGAATATAAGACTTTACTTACCAAAAGCAAAATTTACCAAACTAACCAAATGCTGACCTTTCTCAGAAGTTGCCCCTTTTTTATTTTTACATATTCAAAATTTCATTTTCTCATCAACTGGGAGAGTATCAAACCCCTTTCTGAAACAAATCTTTAGACTCACACTATTGACTTCTTAGCCAGAAAAAGAAAAGTCCCAAAGGCCAATTGGTTAAATATCAACTATAACTTTTCACTCAGCAGTGAATCAGTAAAACCTTGAAAGGACCAAGAATAGCTTTCAACTGTAAGGCATACAATGCAAGGACTTCCAATTATGTATATTCCTGTCCAGCACAGAAGGCAAACAAGAACAGTCCACCTGTTCACTAGTTAATAGTGCTTTCTTTCATACTTAGATATCGTTTCCCTTCTGAATTAAACCTTTCTGATAATCATCCAAAAACTATATGAAATTGATAACCTGTCTTGTAGTGTGTTTTCAATTACAAACACATGCTATAATTTGCATATAAGTCCAGACCATATCTCTTTTGGAAGTGAGCTTGTAATAAACTAAATTTACAATTCTAAGTGCACTATATTTAAAGGTGCACTTAGAAAAGTGCACCAGATTTAGAAAGATTGCTGTACAGTGACACCTACCACTGAAGACGCACAAAGTGCTTCACAAATATTTGTGTGCTTCAGCCTGTATGAGAAACCAGAAAGTCCGAAGAAATTACTGTTAGCATCTTTTATGCTCAAAAGAAGTGTCACATTGTTTAATGTCCACACATGCTCAGTTACCAGCAGCAAGATATCCTCTGGATAAGCGAAGTGTGTGTGGCAGGGTTTGTTACAGACTTCTTAATGATGTGCTCATTAAGAAGCTATCCTCAAAATCTGCTTGAGTTAGGTTTTCCAAGTTCTGTAGGGCTCAGAGTATAACTTGTCTGCACCTCATGTAATGCTGCACACATGCTACAGCACCACCTTACCTCCCACCTTCTGCAGATTAAATTTTAGAACTACAGTAGAGAAGTATGCAACAGTATGTACATACTCACCACACAGTGACATCTATACATACAATGGTTTAAAACTGCAGCTGAGAAGCTACAAAACATATCACTTTAGAAAACTAGTATTTCTCACTTTACTTTTGTGCCTCAGAGTGTCTTGGTCTAAAACTGATTCAAACCCAAACTTTGTCATACATAGACTTTTGCCACAGACCTTTTCCTCATAGATTTAAAGTGAGAAATCTCGTTGAACCATGTCCTGAGATAGTCAAACAGATGGGTCTCATTCTTACAGCCTTAAACAAAGCCAAATGCAGAGACAGCCTATTTACAGTCATCACTGGTTAGTTAATGATGAATTTAAACCTAAATTAACCCAGGGAAAACCCAGAAATGGGGATTCTTCAGCATATTTCTGAAAGGGGGACAGAATTTTACATGGATTTGCATCAGGTTTTACATAATGTAGATATAAAAATTAGATAAAGACATTTATGTGCATCCATCCTAAGACACTGAAGTAGTTTTTAGTTACAAGAATGCAAGTCCATCTCTAAACAAGGTCTTGAAGAGAAGCAGAACTGGAGGTAAAAATCTGTAGACAAAGCAAATCCATGGTTTTGCTAAAAGTCACGTTTTCCCACAGTTCAGCAGAGGTATAAAGGCATGTGTTCTTTATTGCAAAAGCTTCCAGACACACAGGTGCAAATAGAAGCCCGTTACAAAATAAAGTTTTCTGGCTACTGCTATGTGCTTACAGTTAACAAGGTCACCTACAAAGGTACTATTTAGGGAACTGGAAAACAGAGCAGAATGAAGACTTAAGCCACCAATTTCACCAAGCTGCCTTTTCTAACACCCTATAGGCTGCATTGCCAAACTCCATCATTTTACCATGGTCTGCAGACTTCTGATATTTTTCTTAAACCTCCACTTACATAATCTCAGTTTTCATATTTTTAAAAAGCTGTCCAGTACATCAAGGTAAAGAGTATATTATAGAACTCAAAGCAAAGTGTAAAAAAACCCTTAGAGTGGGAAAAGTCAGTTCCATTTTCCTGTTTAAACCTTCTTACACTTTGGACTTGCAATTTGTGAAACTCCATTATGAAAGCACTTCACTTTACACACTAATCAAGAAAATTCAGCTTCAAGTTTCCTTCATGGGAAGCCCAAGGCAACCTGGCAATTGAGTTTGAGGAAAACTTTATCACTGGTCAGCTGGGTGGAGAACGCGAGTTTTGAGGAAGCAACAGCATCTGGAATATTAATCAAAAGTTAAACTACCCACATCAGACACAGGACACCACAGATGATAACAACACTTGCCAGAATCAGTGCACTTGAACTATGGTTTTAAAAAGAGAATCTTTGATAAACAACAATTTCCTAGCTTTATGTACACAGAAACGGAAATACTATTAGCTAGGTGCAAAGATCATTAGAAATTATACTGCTGGACTGTGTAAACTCAAGTCCACACAGACATGTGCGCACACACACGCACAGCAGCGAACATCCGCACATAACATCAAACATTTACATAACCAGCTGGAGTTAACTGGAATAATTCTTCCCTCAGCTGACAGCCAGCATTAGGATCATCTATCAGTCAGCCATACCGAATTCTTAAATGAGTTCTGAAGCAAACTCCTGGTCAGCTGTAATAAAAGGGCTGTACCACAGAAATTGTTAACGTTCAATTTGATCTACACTACAAACTGAAAGCAGACTACTACTGTGTGTTGCAATCCCATGAAATCTACCCCACAGGTCAGGTTACTGTTTAACTTTACTGTAAAGAATTTACAACTTCAAGTTTGTTTAAGTCTTCCTTAATGGCAGTGCCCCAACAGTACATTCTCCTTCACTTCCTAGCCAGAGTCAACTGAAAGAGCAACACCTCTGGAAAGCAACTGCACCCAAGTTTAGATGCTGAGCGGGCACCTCCCAGCTCAAGTCCTGCAGCTAGCAAAATCAGGGCAAACCACAGTTCTTGCACTGTGCACATGGGTGCTTGCCCCTCTCCAGGACACTCCCTTGTCAAATAGATCCTTACTCAGCTGCAGCTGGAAGGCTTGTAGCTCAATCCAGCAGAGGTCTTGCCATCCATTAGTCCCTCTGGGATTTACTGGAATTAACCCAAGACAATAAAATGCAATCACTGTCAGACTTTGCAGTAATATAGAGGAAAGGATGCATGAGAAAGCCATACCATGCAAGTACTTCCTGCACAGAAGAGACTCAAGCAAACTTTTAGGAGTGCTAGTGCTCATACTATTCTCCAGCACACTTTTGCGCCTTCTCAGAAATGCATTTTTTCTGGAAAGGCCATGCCACAGCTGTCCTGGTAGGTCCATCCCAAACATAGCAATAGCTAAAGCCAGCAGCTCACATCACAAAACAGTATAGATCTGCTGTAATCCCTGACTCCGGATTTACACTGAGTAAAACAGAGATCAGTATGTATTCCTAGTAACATTTTGATCTTTTTCTGGAACACCAATGTTATTTTCACCTCAAATATCTTTTTCTAAACATCTTTTTACTGTGCTGTGCAAGAAATAGTGCAGGACTGAATGCCTGAATATCTTTAGGATGACCACACAATCTGTTTTCATATAACCTGTCCCTAAGGAGAATTAATGTAATCGTTAGTGAGTCTGCGGCAAATTGGTTCCTATAGGGATGAAAGCTTGCTCTGGGAAGATATTTTACTGTATGGAACTTGGATACTGCAATGAAAACTGCTTTTGATTGCCTCTGATGGCATAACATTGGATTCAAAGCAAGAATACATTCCTCTGGCTGTACCCTAGCACCCATCCTCTTACTTTTCAATACTTCCCTTCAGCTTCCTTATACACAAAGGAAATAACAAAAGCATCCGCAGTGAAAAAAGCAGCAGTTTCCGTACCCCATTTTAGTATCACACAGTAGCTCTAAGGGCTACAGACACATGTTCTTCTAAGGCTGTGGACTTTTAAAGACAGATGTTACATGTGGGAAATTAATATAAGTCAGACCGCAACAGGGCACTGCTAATGTAAGTTTGAGGAGTAGTGGTCCACTAAAACTAGCCTCTTGCTCATTAAAGCTGCAACCACGTTGTAATCAAGAGAGCATTAGTGAACAGCTAGTGGTCAACATTCACACATGTTCCACTTCCACTAGCCTGGAGGGTGCCTATGCACAAATGCAGGTATAATAGGTGTAGTGCAAGTGCAATCATACACGTATATACAGACACTGTGAGAGTATACCCCTCTGTTCACTTTTCCCCTAATGGATTCTGCTGCATTAAAGGCGTTAAATACAACCCAAACACATTATCGTAACACTGATGAAACTCCACCTTGCCTTCGGCAATTTGGACCAAGAACCGTAGGAAGTTGGGATGCAGCACTCCCACGGGGTGGGCAAGTCCCATGCACAACGGAGGTCCTTGGCCCTGCAGGGAGGCCGAGGCACCCTACCGTTGTGCCAATCCACCTCCAGCAAGGGACTCTTGGAAGGCACCTTGCTCCTGGGAAAAAAAAAAAAAAACATCCCAAACCTCCACAGCCCGTGCCAACAGCTCGGCAGGCTGTGCCTGTGCTTCGGGCAGGGACCCGTCTCCGGGTCTGTCCTAACAGAATGCAGGTCCACCTCTCCACTCCACGCCACCCAGGTCCCGCAGCATCCCCGGGAGAGCTTTCAAAGCTAATGCCCAAACTTCCCTCTCCCACCATGCCGGCGACACTTCCCTGCACATCCCTCACTTCACCCAAATGCAGCAGGCACGGCCGACAGCTGCCCCATACCCCCCCCAGTGCGCGCTCCGGACTCCGTCCAGGCTACGCCCAGCGCCTCCGCCCCGGGGACTTACCGGCGAGGGCAGCCACCCAGCGCAGGCAGAGGCAGACAACGGCCAGGAGCACCTTCCTCCCCATCTCGCCTCCTCTCTCCCTGCGCTTTTCTGCGGCAGAAAAGTTTCGGTGCAAAAACAAAACAAGTTTTTGCTTTTTTAAAAAAAATAAATACAAAGATAATGCGATGGCAAGGAAGCACTCTAGGAGCAGCCCCAGAGTGCCCCTACACCGACAAACAGGCAAACCAACCCTCTACCACCACCACTCCCT